TTATTCCCTGTTCTTATATCTTTTATTACACGCAGCCTCTATCAATTGCTATTCTCGTACATATATAATTGAATACGAAGCCACTCGTACATCGTATACTGCTTCCAACGACTAAAAGTCGTCAAACAAGAGGCAGATGATATCTCGTCAAAGGTAAGAATTCTCTCTACACGAATCGATTAGAATTGCTTCATCTGGCGGATCTCGCTTCCGTTTCGCCCTTTGGCGCTCTTTCTTTTAGCAAAAAGAAGAGAAGGAAAGCGCAATATTCGCGCCGGCCAAACTATATTTATCACAAGGTATACGCGACGGTATTAATTATTCGCGCCATCGAAACGCACGCAAGAACGACTCCGGACGGTTTTTCCCTTCCTTTCGAGGCGAGTGTCGAGGGCGATAAATCACAGATCGATGATCTCGGATCGTATAAGGGCTCGCAGCACGAGATCTCGCTTGCCTACGCGGTCGGTCGGCGCGACACGCTGCGACACTCGCGTGTAAAGAGCGTTTCTCTTATTTTGCTAATTAGCTCGTAACGGTGCCCGTCCCACTTGAGGTCGCCCGAAGGAAGCCGGTCATCCTCGTCAGGGGCGGTGCCGTTGACGAGCGTTTACGATCGCCGCGAATGAAGCTCGAATTACGAGCTATTCCCGTTCTAAATACGGGTATCGATACAAACTGCTCTTTCACGGTCTGCTGTTATCAGATGGAGACGATATAAATGTACAGATCGTATATAGATCTCGTATGTGTAATACTAAAAATATGAAAGATTAAAATAATATTATGGGATAAATTGCGCGTTTATATAGCAATAAAATTACAAATAGCGGCATACACGAATGTAATTGCGATCTCCGCGCTTATCAAATTTTTTTTACATAATCGCTGCTAGTTTTTCCATCTCTGGGGTAAGTAAAAAGAGACCACGAGAGTAATCGCAATCTATTACGTTTGTAACGGGGCATTTGCGTGCCTCCTGTTTTGCGCGGCATCATCGAATCGCGACGATCGATTATTCCCGACGAAGATCCGTGGAATGCCCGGTGTCAGAGGCTGGGCGCTTCCAATAAAAGGCCGACCGTTTGCATAAATCCGTGGATTTTTTAATTGGACCGGGATAGGACTCCCCGTTTACGGCTGACGATCGAGATAGGCATGATCGTGCGCGGAAACGATCCGTCGAGAGTCCGCTCGTTAATTAGGGCACGGCGCGTAATCAAATTTCGAAAATATGCTTAGAAACTCAACGTTGCAGGCACGTAACAGCTATCGAATCTTTCGTCGGCGACTATAATCATCGCCTGGTGGCCTCTATTCCAAAAGCATCTCTCGATATCGCAACGGTCATAACGGTGCTCCGGAACAGTTGCACTAGAGAAACACTATAAATGTCGAGAGTTTATATACGCGAATCTAGCCTCGATCAAGTTGCATACAAATATATGATGAAGAAAACAGAGGGAGAGAGCTTCCAAGACAAATCACATCGCGTGCTAATAACTATAATAAAGATATAATAATCATGCGAAAGAGAAATTCGATATGATACGTCACACAAGTAGCAAAATGACGATCGTATCGGGGAACATCAAGGGGCGGGAAGATCGATACGTGCCTCCCTGATGGAGCTCGTCCACGACACTATACTCGCCGCTAAGCGAAAAACGATCTGGTACTTAAATAATGATGATTAGCCCCGCGGGTCGTGGTAGCGTCGAGCGACGCGACGAATGCGATGAAGAAGCGATACCGTGGCGGCGGTATGCTGTCGTTGACGGGGGTCCAGCTCGTCCCTCTTTCTTCCTGCGCGTTCTCGCGCACGTTCTTACGTCAAACCTTTCCTTGCCTCCTCGCCCCTGCGATCCTCTTCCGTCCGACCCGGTTCCGCTCTTCGCCGTTTCGAACATCGATGCGCGCCCGTTTACGGCTATATCGACGTCCCGTAGCGAGTCTCCGAGGCCGTTCAACATCCGAGGTCGCGCCAGAATGATATTTGTTAATGGGAGGACGGCCGCTTTTTACGCCGAGCTTGTAATTGAAAACTGGCAAGAAATTTAAAACGCTCAATCTCCACGACACGTAAACCGGGTCGGCTCTCTAACTTTCGGATCATACGTCTCGGGTGATCGCGAGACACGAGCTACGTTGACACTTTTCGATTTATCGGTCGTCAGATCGAATGAATCCGTCTTGCGGATATCTATTCCCTTGTTTCACAATGCCGGATTTGTCTCCCGCGGTGAAACACACTTATCTGCTTACGGTTGTATTCCTCGTTCTCCTCATGCGTGATCACTCTTACGATATTACATCTAGTATGTGTCGTGCGAATGAAGATATCTCTACACAGCGCGTTTGAATATTTCTGCAACTTGTCTCTGTAATAATAATTTGCCGCGAATCGACGTCAATGTATAAGTGACTAAAGTGTTTCTACAGCCAAGGACTGAAGAAAGTTTAAAACACGCGTATCCGATGAAAGGTTTGTTGCATCAGCGCAATTACACGGTATGCAAGTGCAACGTATATACACAATAGCGCAAAAAACTCGAACATTGCGTTGCTAAACATGCGCATTGAGCTCCGTACACGCGTAAGATATCTTGGAGTGAAGACACAGCTAAATGGTGCAGAATACGTCCGACGAGGACCGAGAGGAGAGATGGTAGAGAGAAACCTGCGGCAATCGAGAGGGACAAGACAATGGAGGGCGACAATAAGACTGCCCAGCTTCCATCGAGGCAAAAATAAATTAAAATAAGTTCTGCATCTGGTTACCGCTGTTCCTTAACACAGGATGTCTCCGAGACGCATATCGAAATAATGACGTTGCCTTCTTCGGCGAAATAGAAACCGCGAGACATTTTTAAATAAGAATTTCCCCGAAAATACACAGAAATAAAAAAATAAAATAAAGTGATATTATCAAAGTACTGACAACGAAACAAACCAGATGAGGCGGCGAGTCAAGACAACACGTCATCCAGCGATCCGCAACAAGATATAGGATTACGATTGCCAGTTAAAATCCGAGCGATAAAGTCAGCGTTCATAGAACATGTGCGCTTCTATCACGCCTTCCTGTTTCCTCCCCCTCTTTCGTTTCTTTTCTGTGTCGGGACAATCTCATCTAGGATTACACCACAGTAATTCTCCCCCAGCCTGCCCGACGAAATTCCAGGCGAAGCGAAGCCGCTCGAGGGATCGAATCGCCGAAGGATCCGAGAAAGAGCGGGAAAAAGTATATGTATATGTACACGGCTACATATATACACGGAGAGAAATCTCTTCGCTTGCCGCTCCGTGCGATGGTAAACGGCGATAACAAAGCGCGAGATAAGAGGCGCATCATACAAAGTACGGAGAGACGGGAAGTAAAAGAAGCCCTCTCTATCTCCTTTCATCCCCTATATCGCCTCTTTCTTTCTCTCGTATCAAGCATCGCTATCGGATGCATCTATAGTGTCCTGCGACTAAGAATCGCTCTTTAATCACGTGTACTATAAGACAAATTAAGAAGCCAGCGATTATCCTAATGACGAGGTATTCAAAGTTATTAAACGTGAATTAAATTAATCTCTTTTTTTAACAGATATAAATATATGAAAGAAAATTTTAATGAGTATTTTTTTATTATATTGTTGCATGTATATTAATATCGCATTAATGAAACATCTGAATTCCAATGATCTTGAAGCTTAAGAAGGAGAAAGAATTTTCAAAGGATCCGCGTTGCAAATAATTCCGAGTTTTAACATAACCACGAATGATCTTGCTAATCTTCACGTAGCTCTTTTATGAGGCAATGAAATAAAAGAAATATCGATTCGCCAGTTTTTTTTGTGCCAATGCTAAAATTGCACTGACTAAGGCACAAGAGATAGTTCGTATGCATATTTAAAAATTCTACTCTGCCATTTTCTCAGAGTACAGATCTCGATATACACATATAATGGTGCATTACATAATATGATGTACATACGCGTAATTAGAATACGAAACGTTAATTTTGATAAAATCTCTCGGACGGATCTCGGCTTTTTATCCACATCCTCGGGTCGATTAGCGCGATGCTATAATGTTTAAATCGAACAACGCACACGAATACCAGGGAAAGACAAGAAACCTCGCGATCGCCGGATCGGAAAGCTATAATCGGTTGCAGCGCGGTCAAGATTTCTGCGATGCTCGCCGCTTCTTTTTACTTCGTGCGCCTATAGCACATTGAGAAAACGATTGCGGTGAAGCGACGATGGTGCAAGAGGATGTACGTGTATTATTCCGTGTCTGTATATGTACGCGCGCAAAACGTGAATGCTCTTACGGCCGAGATAGCGAAGCGTACTTGCGCCGCGATGTATCTCGCGAGCATCTGCAAATTCCACCGATCTGCGAACGACCTCCGCGGTGGAATACGCTTTAAGACGCTTTTCCCGAGATTCCCCCAGCTCGCCCGAGTATCTCTGAATCTCGCGACCCGAGTAACAATAGCCACTGCAACAATCTTAGCATTATAGGTACTTCTCGACGGCAACAATGTAGCGAACAACGATCAAATAAATTTAGAGAAAAAGAAGACGCATTTGAAAATCAAATTTTAGTACGGTGAGAATTTTCTCTTAAAATTTACCCTGGAAATCATGCTAATCGGGGGACAATATGGTAGTACTGAAAGAATTTTATAAGAATTTCTCTGATTAATATTTACCGCAATAAAAATATTAATATCTAATGTACATAGTAAAATTAATCGAACGTATTTTATATCTTATTGCGGTAGATTCCAAGAGAAAATTCTCTCTGTGTAGGATGTTTGTTCGAGACACTAGACTTATTTCGAATAATTTAATAAAGCAAGCTCATTTTTATTTCACGTTAATTTCTCACGATGTTTGCTTGCCGCTTGTCAATATAGGTATATATTTTACATCGAGCGATGATGCGTCGCGAAACGGCGGGCGAATAAAAGAACTTTGCATAAAAGCATATTGACGTACCTGTGTGTGTTGACAGTACCGGAAAGTCCCTTGCGTCGCCGACGATGCTGTTCTGCGGGCTATTTTCCTTGACCGTGAAAGTGTAACGCGGTTTCTCACAGATGCTGAGGAGTCTGTGTCCGGCGGAAGAGACGGTGACCTTGACCTCGGCATCAACGAGGCTCTTCAGACCGACCACGTCCGTCGCCGTCACGTTGAGCTGATACGACGGCGATCGCGAAAGCAAGATCGGTCTTGCCACATGCAGCTCGCCGGTATTACGATCGATGCGAAAGACTCCGGCCTCGTTGCCGCTGGTTATGCGATAGGTCACTTGACCGGAAAGACCGGCATCGAGATCGGTCGCTTCTAGCTTCAAGATTGGACCGTGCACGAGGTTGTCGCCACGCAAAGTCACGTTATATTTGCGCGGCTCGAAAATCGGCCAGTTATCGTTCACATCTGTCACTTGTATACGAACGATCGCTATCGTACTTAATCCACCTGTAAACATACACAATAATTTAGTCATTAATGATTTGTAATTAATTTGCATCAAAATGAGTAAATATAATATCCAGGGTAAACTACTTAAATTAAGAATTGTATTAAATATTTTAAAAATTACTGAGAGAAATCTTTAATTTACGAGAATAAATATTGTTTGTAAATAAGCATAATATCGGGAATGTTGAGAAAAATATCGCAAGTGTTCAAAAGAATGAAATCAATCCAGAAAGCACAATTAAGAATCATTTGCCTCGTATCAGAATAATGATTTTAAGTTATTGCGAATATATATAAGAATCGTTTATAGGACTAAGCATGTAGCAACAGTAGAGTGCATAATATTATAAAATATTATTATGTGATGTGTTTTATTAAAATTTAGGGAGAGACGGGGAGTCATTATTTAGAGTTTTATGCGAGTTTGAAAAAAATCCATGAAGTGGTCCTTATACCGAACATTTATCCGCGTACGGAAAGCGAGAAAGAAGTGCGCGGCCGAGCGATTATGTTTATTTCGTTCCCGGCCGAAATCCTCTTATCGAGCCAAATAATGTCGGGGTATTAGCCGACGTAGAGAACGAATCTACGGGGACGCGCCCGAAGCCCGGTCGGCATAAATCACGGAGCATCTCGTACCGCAGCCTCTTCTCGGATCCAATCAGCCCAGCTGGCCCTTCTCGCTCTTGCCTTTCACAGGTTTACGTTTCATCTCGCTCGTTTCTTCTCACTGCGCGTTCTTTCTTCGGCTTTCTTTTTCTCGGTCTGGTATACCCTCTCTCTCTTTCTCTCGCGTTTTATTCGGACACGCGCGAGCACGTGTGCGTCGACGTGAGCTCTTTTGCTCCCGCGCGGGAGGGTAATGCGTCGTTCGTAGTAATATTTCAAACACGAGAAGCTTACGGGGTCCCCAAATGGCCGCATTCTCGCAGTGTCTTAACGGCCACGTTCTTTTGGACATTACTATCTCCCGGATAATTGCTTTGTTGATAGATCGATCGATCGGTAAATTATGGTATTTATATAAAAATAAAACGTACAAAATCGATAATAAAATTATTATTTCACAAGACAAGTTATTACGCGACCGTACTCTATTTGTCTCCTTCGCAATCTACATGGAGCGTTGAATATGCAATCATCTAATCCGACAAGTAGTTTAATTGTCTAACGATCCGCCAAGTCCCCGAGAGAGCTAATTTGTCAGAGACTCGCTATAAATTACATTAGACTGTATCTTGCGAATTATAATCATATACATTCCATACAGATTATCTTTCTACACGCATTTGTACGAAAGCGCAACATTGGCGAGAGCGACGAGAAATCAGCGATGCGTAAACGCGAGCTCCTGATCGCCGCCTTTAGATTTAGGCGAGGCATGACGCAAGTGTTAATATCAAAGACAGTGTATGTAAAACGGGTAATCCGATGTTTAAACGGTTTACAACCGTAACTCATAGTAATGTATGGACTCGGAGCCGTGCGGAGCGTTCTCTCGGGCGCGAGGAGATTTATAGGTACGAGTGTCATTGGAGTCATGCGTCAAGGGTCCGGTCCCTCGCCACTGCCACACGATTTCTCTCTCCTTCCCGATCTTTCTTCTGTAGAAAGACGAAGCCTTCGTGATGACGCACGGACACCACCTCGAGATATCGAGACACCGATCTCTAGCAAGACACGCGGGCGTATAGTCATAGAACTTATTGAAAAAGCTTCTTGTGTGCCCTAATGATTTTTAATTGCGCTTTTCATAGATCAAATCGCGCGCTTATAGCGTCCCTTTGTGGGAACGATGAAAAAAAGAATCGATTAAATATACTCGCGCGTTCGATACGGAAGAGCGAAGGAACACACCGACTTCCCGGTGATAGTTCAACGGTATTTTAATGCACGACCCGATATTTTGTGGCCGGTGCAGTCCAGCCCTTTTAATTTCACGCGGTCGATCGCCGGGATGAGTCCTTTTCGAGATTCGAGTGCGGCGGGGGATACGAAGGTTCCGAAAGAGAGAAAGAGAGAGAGATTTATACGGCCGGTAGGTGCGGTGGTGCTCAACCTAACAGTGCGAGAATTACGAATGCGTCAAGGATGGGGTTTCGCAACATTACGCGCGCGTATTACGAAAACTTACAACTGTAATTGATATTTTGCATGCGGTTTTAGTTAGGATTTCGTTAACGTTCCACCAATTTCAATAACAGATTCAAGGTCGAAAAACAACTTTCCCTTAAATCATTTACACGAGCGCCAGACACTCGCTTTCGCGTAAACCCGTAATTTCTTTTTTTTCCTTCTTATTCAGGCAGGAGAGAAACGAGTTGTTTCGTTAATATGCCGCGCGCAAAATGCGCGCAGCTGATTTCGGAGAGTTCAATGCGTGGACCGAAGGTGACATATCCGAGATTATGCGTGGTATCACGCGGCGTCGAGAAGTGGAAATAAATAAGTGCAAAAACGGCCGCACACGGACAATGACACGAATGTCCGGTGGGAGTTAAGCCTCGAAGATTTATGATGCCGGTGCCAATAAAGTCACCTTCCTAATGTATATATAGTCGCGAAGAGAAGTGCATCCATCCGGACGCGCCTTTCTTTACATTTGTATACACCTGCCGTGTGTGAGGCAGACCCGCGTTATCGGGCAGGTATATAATTTCAAGAAAAAAAGATAGCATCTCTCTTCGATTTCTTTTCGTCAACGCGTGCGACGATAAATCGAAGATGCGCGATAAAATCTATCCCGTTGGCGGAATATCCTTGCGCGACAGGAATTCCATGGAGGATTTCGCACAGAGATTAGCGTAGAAATTACATTAAGATATCGTAGCTGCGCGTGTAATCGATACCGAGTCGAGATTCCTTTTCTACTTTAAAAGATGTTCTCGTAGGAAGAAAATCCAGTTCGGATAACATTGACGATCCCACATTAATACATGGCGTTGAGAACATATCTTTTTCACGGAGATATCGCAAATATTTTTACGATACAAAAAAAGATTCATTCCTTCTACATAATTTGCTGCAGCGCAATTAAAATAGTAAATCATCAGTAATAAATATACCTATACTCAAAGAGATTCGCGAAAATTTTAATCCACGTCAATTGTCATATTTTCTTGAGCCTTCACAGCTGCTAACAATAATTTCTCCCTCAACAGGAAAGCGGTCTAAATTTATTATTCATCGAATTATCTTTCAATTCATCCATCAACCATCTCTCGAAGGGACGGCGCCTGGTGTTTATCGATTCTGCAACGACTGTTCGACTCGCGACCTGAACGAAAAATAATATATATAATTCTCGCTGAAGGAAATATCCGTATAGATATCTCTCGCAGAGATCCCCGCCTCGATTCGCTCGTAGGTAATAATTATCACCGCGGCGTTATCCACCGCTGTTAGCACGATAGTAAGCCCGGTTAAGGGTAATCGTCGACGTTATCCCCTTCTGTTCCCCTTCGATAAATATCGACGACGACGAATGTGCATGCATATGCGCGTTGGCCAAGCCGCGACGATGCAGGGGATGCTATGCAGGACTCTCAAGAGACTCCGTCGCGTAGCGAACGTCAGCAGGTGATATAAATCATGCGCACCTGGCCCGCGTGGTTCACGGTGGCTCGCGATTCGCTTTACTGCCGTCGCGCCAAAATGATTCTCTCCGCGCGAATTACAGGTAGGCAATAAGAAGAATTAATCGCCGGCGTAAAAATAAGAAGCAAGAGGAGGCGGAGGATTAATGAGTCTCGGGCGCCACGAGGAAGTCTTGGTCCTCTCTACTCTTCGCGCGAGGACGTGCGAATCGCCGGAAGATATTTGTAATCATTTCCGTGCGTCCCGGACTTTGATTGAGATACAGTATATACTCGGGCGTGCCGCCTGATATGCCGTAACTTCGGGGTCGGAGAAATTAATAAATTTTATCTATTATCGTCATTGCCATTCTTGACGAGTGGCGCGAAATTGGAAATTCGCGGTGTATTCTCTTTCTTGCGCCCGTACATTTTTCTTCCCTACGAAGATACACGACTGTCGTCCGACGCGCGCTAGTCAGCAAGCGATATAAATCACGTCGCGCCGGTAATCGCGATGCGTCCCCTATGCCTCGCAGTGCCCGTCATATCCGGTTCTATTGTGCATCCTGACAATATCCACCAGACACTCTGCTGCACGGCTGTTGCGCAGCCGGACAATCGTATCGATAACGAGCGACAATTACGTAAATTCGCGCGCCTGTTTGCAAAACGACGCCAACAATAGACGTCCTCTTTCCCTTTTCGGTCTCACGGTTTTATTCATTTTTTTTTTTTTTTGCCGTCGATAGATTTTCTTTTTCGGATAATAATAATCCCGCCTATCTTCCCGCGTTCCAAAAATCCCGCAAAAAATCAGCGGCCTCGCGGTAGCGTCCCACGATGAATCCAATGGACCCGCAGTCATTGTCCTTTCCCATAAAGCCGCCGCTACCGCATTGGAAATGGCCACGGAACCCGCCATCGCGACATAAATCATACACCCTATTACAGAGCTACTAGATCCTGACGGCCCGATAGTCCGGGACCGCGTCTTTTCCTCTCCGCGACGGCGTTGTTTCTTACATCCTCCATTCTCGTTTCCGTGCGCGTGTCTCCGCGCCGTTTCTACTCGTCGTTTCTACTTGTCTCTCGCTTCTCCCCCTTCATCGATGCCTTCACGGCGCGTACAACGGCACTCGCACGCAAACGGCAAAGTTGCCGGGCATTGTTCCTACGTCGTCGGAACGAGAGATCGCGATCGTACGAGATCGCGAGATCGGACCGAATCACCGTAACGGTGTGAATGTCTCGAATTACAATAGGTGAGAATGTTAAATGTTTAGATACGAGATACGAGAAGGTGAAGAGATTAACGATCGCGATATTATAATAAATACCGCAAATATAGTAATAGATCAATTTTCTTTCGGATATTTTAACCGATTTTAAGGTATTATTAATACCGACTGCAATTTGCATAGAGTTTAAAATTAAAAAAGAATTGAAAATAAAATAAAAATTAAATTATAAATGTTCGATCTAAGCTCGCTGATCTATAGTGCAATAGAGAAGAGTTAACACAAACCTCGATCGGTGGCAATGACAGGTAGCTCGAGATAAGGCGCCGTTTCTCTGTCCAGAGGCGACCGAACGCAAATATCCCCCGTATCACTGCGCACCAGGAGTTGCTCGTTTTCCAGTCGACCGCCAGCCAGGGTATAATTGACCATCGCGTTTACGCCGCAATCGGGATCGGTGGCTTGCACCTGCAACAAAGATAAATCAAGGTCAACACCGCGATAAAACAGAGAACTCGATATATATATATTTCAGGCACAAATCTTGCGAAATCCGCACATTTTCCACATATCTTCAATTCCATTAAACTCGCCATTATAATAAAGGAATGCAGTCTTTCATTCTTTGCATTATAATTGTTGAGAATGCGAATAATTTTGACAATTGTCACCGTGTAGTATTTGATAAAATGATTAAAAAAAGCAAAGACGTGAGAAAAATTAAAGTTGTTAAAAGAAATAAAATAATATAAATTATCCGACGACGCAATCTGAAAAATCGCGGATGGAAAATCATGAAATTTGTTTGCAATCTTCAAAGTATAGTCTTGTTTCGCAGAACCGCGATGAATAACCATTGAAATTTATCCATCCCATTTGTTCGTTGTGTGATTTTTTTTTGCACCGCAACAAAAACGAAAGACACAACGCGGATGACGAAGGGCGCGATGTCGTCGCGCCTCCCCGAAGGCAGAATCCACCCGGGCGAAGCACTTTGTTTAATTTCGCCCGGCGTTCCTGAAACGGGATACCCGCGGATCGTCGGGGAGGTGGTCCATTCGTAATCTGGGCCCAGTGACTAATTTGCGAGCGAAGCCTTCGTTTTCTTGCCCTCCCAGAGGAGGACCCGAAGACGGTTACCCGCGACGGACGGACGAAACGTGGGGGCGGTGATGGACGCCTCTGTGCTTCCAGCGTGTGTGATTTATGCGACGATTCATCGCCACCTACCCACCCCTCGATGTAATACAAGTTACGAGATTTCGTACGGTCGTTAACGAAAATGCCTTCCCATTTTTTCCCCGTCGAAACGTTATCGCTGGGAGACTATTTTCTTCCAGAATATTTCGAATATGTGGTCAGCCGTTCCTTCATTTTAAACGTCTCGAATTGATTACGTAGATTTTTCTCGACTAAGCTTATAAAGCTTCCACTTCAAAATATTTTCGATCCGTTCCTCTTTTCTATACGTATATGTGTACGTCAAATGTGAAATTCCATGCGGAAAAATGCGATATAGAGATACCGTTCCTCATTTTAAATTATGATAGATACGTCGACGTTGAAATGAATAGGCTCCCACTTGAGCGTGAATACCCGAACAATAAGACTTCTCACTCTGAATCGCGGTCTAAACGGTATTTTCCTTCGGGCGACGTGATATAGGTTTCGCTCGATGATTTATCGCACACGTACGGCGCGTATCACAGGGCTAACCGCCTGGGACACAACGCGAATACGCAATTTTTCTCGCCATTTTTGCGTCGCGCACGCAATACCAGTATCGAGATAGATAATGCTACCCGCTCGATATAGATTACGATCGATCCGGTCGATCGGTAATTGCCGTCGCAATCGGCCGAACGCGGTTTATACGGCAACGGAGGAAGGGAGGAAAGAAGAGAAAAGTAACACTTGTAAATTTATCGGCGCGGGACGTAATTTGCGGGATATAGTGGTAGTCGTCTCATGTGCCACAGTCGTCGGGAACTCGACGCAGAAGAAACCGAGACGCGAGTTTCGACCGGTAATGAACCCCTTAACCCAGGCAGAGTTGCCTTAATGACAGTTTAAAGTTTCTTCTCGCGTTCGTGGTATCGCCCCGGCCATCTAGCCGAGTACTCGGGAGAGAGAAAGAGAGAACCGTTCCGCCCATGTTGAACGGGAACGTGGAATCGCGAGGATCCGATCGCGCGCCGTTGATCGATTACTTCGTTACGACGCGCCCGCTCGATTTGTCGCGATATAACTCCAGCTACATTACATTCGCGGCAAAAAAAAAATACCTGTATATCTCTGAAGAGAGCAATGGTTAACGCGAATCATTCTCGCGTGTTTATCCGGTGGCTGTAGACGCGTTTCGCAACAAATTAAGCGATTACTCACGTTACCGTGGTTGAAAACAAGTAGTCGCGTAAAGTCACGTAAAGTCTCTTCATACCACGGGCTATATAATATATAACACGGAATCGTGTCTGTATTGCATTTTTTTTCCCATTTTTTTCGCGAAACTTTTTTTGCAATTAATTGCAAGCCTGATATGACGGTTCGGCGAAGAAGGCGCGGGAAGAAATTAAATTTGCTATCTGCCAGACACAATAATATTCCACTCGAAAACAATGTATACGAGAATCGTGAGAATCGTAGAGAGGGGCGCGTCGAAAGAACAAGATTGCAATCTTGAGCTACAATTAAGGAGGTCGGGGCGGTTCGCGCGCGGAGAAAATATTCCTTTCTACGTAGGCGGATCTCTCGCGCGCGCTAACGGGGATCGCACATAGGCAGAGAGAGAGAGAGAGAGAGACTAGAATAGAACTCCTGAAAGTCGATAAATCGGCAGGGTATAACCTCGCCTCGGCATTTGTCATTATATCGCGCGCGTCCGATCTGATAGCGCGGCCGGTTAAATGAACGGTTATAATGAGAAGAAACGAAATTATAGCGCGAACGCGTTATATTAAAGTGTACACGTTATGCGTTATATTAGCCGTTACACGTGTACTTTATCGGCATTTATATCGCCGATAGTGTGGAAGCTGTGGCGCGCGAGAGAGAGAGAGAGAATACCTATGTACGCGAGAACTATAAAATATTACGACTCGTCCTCGCGTAATATGCGCGGCGCGTTAATAAACTGGCATTATTAATATCTTCAAAGCGCTTCGCAGTCGAGTTAAAGCCGTTGTCCCGAGCGCGTGTGAGAATTACCATCGTAGAAACCTAATTTGCAACAACATCCCCCGTATATACGCTCCGCGAGTTATAATATCCATCGCGATTTTTCCAAGAGCGAGAGTAGCAGCGCATCTATCCAACGTGTTAACAGAAGGGCTCTGAAAGGAAGAGGCCGTCGCGAAGGAGGGCGAGAGAAAGAGACAAAGAGTCCGGCCACGGGTAGAGGCAGGATGGAGGATAATAAAGCAGGAGTCCGCGAGGAATGATTTAGTGGCAAGCGGTCGAATAACTTTCCCGCCAACACTGTTATGTGTGTCTGCTGTGCGTTGAGCACCTCTCGCTGGGAGGGAGAGATGAGAACGAAGCGAAGAAAAAAGGGTCGACCTAGGACCTGTGGAAGGAGGGAAATTTGAAATTTGTCGGGCCATGTGCGGAACCTCCTCTCGAGCGGCGGAGAGAAACTATGGACCCTCGACATCTTTCTCCTTTTCGGCAAGCACGAGAGAGAGAGAGAAGGGTGGAGAGAGCAGAAGAAAGAAACCGAAGGTCTTCGCATCCCTTCTCTCCGTTCCATCCAGACACAATCATGCTAATGAATTACTGCCGTGCAATATCGATGGCGATCCGAACGGACTTCGTCACTTCGGATATAGCGCTGTCTCTTCCGCGGACGCGTGTCAAGAATACTATTACGACTGTCACTCGATGAATAACAAAGATTTTTCTCATATCGATATACTGCGTCATTTCGATCCACATGATTATATGATCTGATAAAAACAATTTTCGCGCCTTATTCTTATATTAATACCCATTTTGTCTCATTACTTCTTGATTATCGAAGATTATCGAAGATATCTTAGAGTTTGCACTTAAAAAAAAAAAAAACTTAAAAATTATTTTTACGCGTCACGACACATTTGCGATATGCTTGCATAAATGCATTTGTAAATCGGAGTTAACCTGGTCGATTCTAGAACCAAGGTACGATCCAGGCGAATGCCTCGAAAACGTATTCCACGCGAGGCGCTACCGCGTTAGCATAGTCGCGTCACGAGTTAAACGCCAAAGACTTCACAAACGCCTACGTATACGTTCGGGCACGATGCTCGGGCCTTTAAAAGCTGAAGCGCATTACGAATGAAGATATCCACGCCGCCTTTTCCTCTTTATACGAGATACGTAAAGCGCCAGAGCTGCACGACGGGACGCCTCGATATACTTTCGTGAGTACGCGCAAAGTCGCACATATCCCCACGCTATTTCAGGATATATTCATGTCTGGTGTAGTCGCCAAAACATGCAGCGACGATATAAGCGTCGAAGGGAAAATTTTAATATAAATTTCCACTAAACGCGTCGAATAGATTAGCGGGGACTGAGGCCCCTCTTGGATCGAATCAAACATTTGGTAGTCGAAAGAAGGGTAGGAATAGAATTTGCGCAGCGGGAGAAGGTTAAGGTTGCGGAAGAAGGCGAGGGATTGAGTTCGCGGACGGGTGGGTGGATTACTCGGTGCCGATATATCGAGTCACCGGATAGAGAAGGCGAACGAGGGGTATAGGGAAGAGGAGAGGCACGTATCCGTGTTTCCACACTGGTGGTACATCTGATGCAAGATACGGCGCGTCACGATCCGCGCTCACCGCGCGCCATATACCCGATGCACCGTGTAAAGTGTCCTGTGCACGATACCGAGAGGTACGGCAGGGTACGTTATAGGCCCGACGATTCTGGATAGTTTACACGTTGGTGCCTTACCGGTCGGTCGTATTGTTTGCCCCGGCGTGGCCCGCATATGCGGCCTGTTGCATATCAATGCGCCAGGCATCGAGTATGTACCTCCTTCGCTGAGCGACGACGTGGATCTCTTTCTTCCTCTTCCTCTTTCTCCTTGGTCCCGCTCGCTTCGTTCTCTCTTTCTCCCGCGAGTGCATACCCTGACTCCGAGACGAGAGAAAGGAGAGAAGGATCTCCGCGGACGTAAGCCGCGCTATCTGGGGTTAAAAAGTATCCTGACCCCGTATACGACGCACGGCCTCGATTCACGGTAGATTCTCAGTCGTTGTTGTCGTTGTCATTGTCGTCGTCTCGGTACCTCTCTCTCTCTCTCTCTCTCTCCCTCGTTTAAGCGCGATCTACCTGCATCAGGGAACGCGTTTCTCGGATTCTTCATACCGATGCTACAGCAACGATACGCGCGGATAAATCATAATTATGATGATGGACAAGTTCCGCGAAATGTAATCCAAACGCAACTTAATTATCTCTCCATTTCTTCGCGATGTTATAAATCC